GCTTTCATGGTTGCTAATACAGATGGCTGGAGTTCGAGCCTCACTGTGTCGTTGTGGTACCTAGCTGTGATACCAGCTCTAGTGGTACAGTGTCGTTAGACGAGATGCAGATAACTGACGTATTTGGGTATGTTTCAAATGCTGTACTTCACAAGCACAAGCCTCTTGGTTTGACAGTCACAAGAAGCCGTTAGTAAGGATATATATATATGCATATATATATATCCTTAGTAACGGCTTCTTGTGACTGTCAAACCAAGAGGCTTGTGCTTGTGAAGTACAGCATTTGAAACATACCCAAATACGTCAGTTATCTGCATCTCGTCTAACAACACTGTACCACTAGAGCTGGTATCACAGCTAGGTACCACAACGACACAGTGAGGCTCGAACTCCAGCCATCTGTATTAGCAACCATGAAAGCCATGTAGTTCCGCTTGTGTATAAGTGTTCGTTATGCTTCTAAGGAGGGACGATGATGAGTGGGTGCGTCAGCTGAATATCTGTCACAGTGGGCTGATAGCCACGTATCCTTCACCGCCAAGAAAAGTAACCCTGGAACCGTAAGACTCGAGAAAGACAATGTTATGCATGACATAAGTGAACTTGGCTATTTTGACAACACAGAAGCGGCACGCATACAGAGCACCTGGCACCGCCCCGATAGTTTTCAGCATTGCCCAAACTCATTTTTCCAAAGCCCACTAAGTCAGCTGATCGCCATAAATTCCAGGTCTTGGAAGTGCAGTCCGAATGGCTGCGCAGCCACCTGACATGGTAGTGCAGCACACTTGCTGTCTGTAGCATACTTTATCGAGGTAAATGAGGTCAGTCCAAGCCTGCACGAAACAGTACAAGCCCGGAACTGCAGTTCAGGCAGCTTGCCCATGCCGTGCCTATCGCAAGCAAGCCCTTGGGCAGCGGTTTTATTGTTAGGGCAGTGGTAGGCACGACGAGCTGAACCACCTCCTCGTGATGCCGACCGGGTAGCCTGGATGTCTGTCTGGGTGAGCTAAGAGTTCAGCAACTCCAGACAGGGCCAACCACCCCGTTTGGTTCCAATGTGCTGGTCACTTTCGACAATGTATACTACGAATCATCTGGCGCCTCCGCACCAGTTCCAACCAGTACACAGGAGAGACTCGTTGGGTTCACGTGTGAGGAATGTGGCAAGTGCTGCAAATCGAAAGCTGGCTTGGTAGCCCATCATCGAGTTCACGACAATGAAAGTGTTGGTACGAACACGGTTGCCCAATTGGCCTGCGCTGATTGTTCCCGCCTTTTTCCGACGAAGATTGGCCGGAGTCAACACCGCCGGCACGCACATCCCACCCAGCATAATGCAGATAAGCTTGGCCGAGTGAAGTATTCCGGTACCCGGTGGTCCCAGCAAGAGTCAAAATCGCTCTCACGCCTGGCTAAAAATTTATATCCATCTTGTGGCACGCAAACCGAGCTGTTCACGCGATTGGAGCAGTATTTTCCTGGTCGATCGGCTATCAGCATCAAAACCAGGTTACTGGCTTACTTGCTTAACTGGCAAGCACAACAGGACGA